TGGGGAATGGGCCAAAATACCAGCAACAGTGTGTGAAAACCTTGTGAAGACTTTGAAAAACGTTACAGACACAAGCAAATAAATTCCTTTAATCCTACAGTATTCAATATTCTGACCAAGTATTTTGTCTAAGTAAGTAAGCATATATATACAGGGTCAGTTCCATACCTATTTACAATGTGAGGATATGGAGTGATGGAGAGTAGTAGTATAGGGGTAAGGTGACTAGGTAACAGGATATAGATAAACAGAGTAGCAGCAGCTTGTATGTGAGTGGGTGTGTATGTGTAGAGTCAGTATAAATGTATGTGCATATTATATGTGAGTGAGCAGATGATGGAGTGAGTGTGTGTGTGACTGTGTAGAGCCCTGTGAGTGTGCATGGAGAGTGGGAAAATAAAAAATAAAGATACAAGGTTAACTCAGATAGTCTGTGTAGCTATTATGTTAGCTATTTATCAGTCTTATTGCTTGGGGATAGAAGCTATTCAAGAGCTTGTTGGTGTCAGACTTAATGCACCGGTACCGCATGCCGTGCGGAAGCAGAGAGAATAGTCTATGGCTTGGGTGGTTGGAGTCTTTAACAATTTTCCGGCCCTTCCTTCCACACCACCTGATATACATGTCCTGGATGGCAGGGAGATCAGCCCCAGTGATGTACTGGCCTACCGCATCACCCTCTGTAGCGCCATGCGATTGAGGGCGGTGCTATTGCTATACCAGGCAGTGATGCAGCCAGTCAAGATGCTCTCAATGGTACAGCTGTAGAACCTTTTGAGGATCTGAGGGCCCATGCCAAACTTTTTCAACCTCCTGAGGGGGAAGAGGCGCTGTCGCGCCTTCTTCACGACTGTGCGTGTGTGTATGGACAATTTTAAGTCTTTAGTGATTGGACACCAAGGAACTTGAAGCTCTCGACCTGCTCCACTGCAGCATTGTCGATGTGGATCGGGGCGTGCTCATGCTCCTGTTTCCTGTAGTCCACGATCAGCTCCTTGGTCTTACTGACATTGAGGGAGAGGTTGTTGCTCTGGTACCACACTGCCAGGTCACTGACCTCCTCCCTGTAGGCTGACTCAGCGTCGCCGGTGATCAGGCCTACCACCGTCGTGTCGTCAGCAAACTTGACGATGAAGTTGGAGTCGTGCGTGGCCACGCAGTTGTGGGTGAACAGAGAGTACAGGAGGGGACTAAGCACACACCCCTGTGGGGCCCCAGTGTTTAGGGTCAGCGTGGCGGAGGTGATGTTGCCTACCCTCACCACCTTGGGTCGGCCTGTCAGGAAGTCCAGAATCCTAGTTGCAGAGGGAGGTGTTCAGACCCAGAGTCCTAAGCTTGGTGACAAGCTTGGAGGGGACAATGGTGTTGAACTAGGTGGGTGAGGGCAGTGTGGAGACCTGATTAAAAACCTTTTTCACGTCTGCCTTGGAGCGCGAGATCACCCAATCCTCTGGGTCAAAGCGTGCATAAAATGCATGGAGTTCGTCTGGTAGAGAGGCATCGTTGGGCAGATCACGGTTGGGTTGGGTCTTTCTTTTTTTTCTTTTTTTATCTGTAATGGACTGTAGCTCCTGCCACATGCAGTGGGCATTGAAACCTGTGTAGTATGATTCCACCTTATTCCTATATTGTCCTTTTGCTCGTTTGATGACTCTGCGGAGGTCATAGAGGGACTTATTGTACAGCCCATCTGAAATTAGCCCACCCAACTACCTCATCCCCATATTGTTATTTATTTTGCTCATTTGCACCCCAGTATCTCTTGCACATCTATCATTCCAGTGTTAATACTAATTGTAATTATTTTGCACTATGGCCTATTTATTGCCTTACCTCCATAACTTGCTACATTTGCACACACTGTATATATATATATATATTTTCTATTTTCTGTTGTATTTTTGACTTTATGTTTTGGTTTACCCCATATGTAACTCTGTGTTGTTGTTTTTAATCGCACTGCTTTGCTTTATCTTGGCCAGGTCGCAGTTGTAAATGAGAACTTGTTCTCAACTGGCTTACCTGGTTAAATAAAGGTGAAATAAAAAAATATTCCTGTCCTCAGCCGTAGCCTCAAGGTTGTCTACGATAGCTCTGTGTGCGGTAGCCCTGTCCTTTAGTTTAGCGCCAACCTCAGTGTTAATCCAGGTCTTTTGATTGGAGAAGCAGCGAACCCTCACCGTGGGGACAACATCGCTGATGCATTTCCTAATGAAGCCAGTGACGGAGGTGGTTAGCTCGTCAATGTTATCGGCGGATTCTCGAAACATATTCCAATCAGCGCTAGCAAAGCAGTCATGTAGCGTAATCTCTGATTCTGGTGACCATTTCTCAATGGAGCGAGTCACTGGTACTTCCTGTTTGAGTTTCTGCTTGTAAACAGGAAGCAGGGGTACGGAGTCATTATCTGATTTGCCGAATGGCAGACGAGGGAGGGCCTTGTATGCTTGCTTGTGGGTGGAATAACAGTGGTCTAGGACTTTATCGGCCCTAATGGCGTTGGAGACGTGTTGATGGAAGTTCTTCTGAGACCGCCTGGTATAGAGGTCCTGGGTGGCAGGGAGCTCGGCCCCAGTGATGTACTGGGCCGTACGCACAACCCTCTGTAGCGCCTTGCGGTCGGATGCCAAGCAGTTGCCATACCAGGCGGTGATGCAGCCAGTCAAGATGCTCTCAATGGTACAGCTGTAGAACCTTTTGAGGATCTGAGGGCCCATGCCAAATCTTTTCAGCCTCCTGAGGGAGAAGAGGCGTTGTCATGCCCTCTTCACAACGGTGTTGGTGTGTTTGGACCATGATAGGTCCTTAGTAATGGGGACACCGAGGAACTTGAAGCTCGTGTTGAAGGTCTGCGTGGCAGATGTGTTGTTGCCTACCTTCACCAACTGGGGGTGGCCCGTCAGGAAGTCCAGGATCCAGTTGCAGAGGGAGGTGTTAGATCCCAGGGTCCTTACCTTAGTGATGAGATTGGAGGGCACTATGGTGTTGAATGCTGAGCTGTACTCAATGAAGAGCATTCTCACGTAGGTGTTCCTTTTGTCCAGGTGGGAAAGGGCAATAGAGATTGCGTCATCTGTAGATCTGTTGTGGTGGTATGCAAATTGGAGTGGGTCTAGGGTGTCTGGGATGATGTTGTTGATGTGAACCATGACCAGCATTTCAAAGCATTTCATGGCTACAGATGTGAGTGCTATAGGGCGATAGTCATTTATACAGTTTACATTGGCGTTCTTGGGCACAGGGACTATGGTGGTCTGCTTGAAACATGTAGGTATTACAGACTGGGTCAGGGAGAGGTTGAAAATGTCAGTGAAGACACTTGCCAGCTGGTCAGCACATGCTCGGAGTACGTGTCCCGGTAGTCCATCTGCGGCCTTGTGAAAGTTAATCTGTTCAAAGGTCTTAATCACATCGGCTACGGGGAGCATGATCACACATTCATCCGGTACAGCTGGTGCTCTCAGGTATGGTTCAGTGTTGCTTTCCTTGAAGTGAGTATTTAGCTTGTCTGGTAGGCTTGTGTCACTGGACAGCTTGCGGCTGGGTTTCCCTTTGTAATCCGTGATGGTTTGCAAGCCCTGCCACATCCGACTAGCGTCAGAGCCGGTGTAGTAGGATTCGATCTTAGTCCTGTATTGACGCTTTGCCTGTTTGATGGTTCGTCGGAAGGCGTAGCGGGATTAGTTTCCCATTCCTTAAAAGCGGCAGCTCTATCCTTTAGCTCTGTGAGGATTTTGACTGTAATCCATGGCTTCTGGTTGGGATATATACGTACGGATACTGTGGGGACGACGTCGTCGATGCACTTATTAATGAAGCCGGAGACTGATGTGGTAAATTCCTCAATGCCATCGGATGAATCCCGGAACCATTCCAGTCTGTGCTAGTAAAACAGTTCTGTAGCTTAGCATCCGCTTCATCGGACCACTTCCGTATTGAGCACGTCACTGGTACTTGCTGCTTGAGTTTTTGCATGTAAGCAGGAATCAGAAGGATAGAGTTATGGTCAGATTTGCCAAACGGAGGTGAGGGAGAGCTTTGTATGTGTCTCTGTGTGTGGAGTAAAGGTGACCTAAAGTTTTTTCACCTCTAGTTGCACAGGTGACATGCTGGTAGAAATTTGGTTAAAACCGATTTCAGTTTTACTGCATTAAAATCACTGGCCACTAGGAGCGTCGCCTCTGGATGAGCATTTTCTTGTTTTCTTATGGCCCTATATAGCTCATTGAGTGCAGTCTTAGTGCCAGCATCGGTTTGTGGTGGTAAATAGACAGCTACGAAAAATATAGATAGTATGGTCTACAGCTTATCATGAGGTATTCTAACTCAGGCGAGCAGAACCTTGAGACTTCCTAATTATTAGAGATCGTACACCAGCTGTTGTTAACAAAGAGACACACACCCCCTCCCCTGAGCTTTCCCGACGCTGCCGTTCTGTCCTGCCGATGTATAGAAAAACCAGCTAGATAAAAATGTTCCATGTCCTTGTTCAGCCACGACTCGGGGAAACATTCGGTATTAGTTCTTCAGATCACATTGATAGGATAGTCTCGAACGGAGCTCGTCCAGTTTATTCTCCAGTGATTGCACGTTCGACAATAGAACGGAAGGCAGAGGCGGTTTATCCACTCTCCGACGTAGTCTTGTATATCCATCTATAGCGCAGCCACCTCCTTCTCCGAGTGTCGGAGATTTGGGCCTGGCCCGGAATAATCAAAATGTCCTTTGCCGCCGACTCATTGAAGTAGAAGTCCTCATCCAAATCGAGTTTAGTGATAGCTGTTCTGATGTCCAGAAGCTATTTTTGGTCATAGGAAACGATGGCGGAAACATTATGTACAAAAAAAGGCTGTGTCCCAAATGTCACCATATTTCCTACTTTTGACCAGGGTCCATAAGGGCTCTGTTCAAAAGTGGTGCACTATTTAGGTAATAAATAGTGACGAAGGCTTTATGTATGCTGCAAAAAACTCTGCATTACAGTCAGCGCATAACTCACTGATGTCCAGGTCAGGTCTCTGTCTGGGTACAGAGGCTGATCTTCTAGGAGTCAACCTGGAAGCCCTCTCCTCCACCTGCTGCTCCTCACCCCACCTCCTCTCCTCCCTGCTCTCCTCTCTACCACCATCCCTCCTTCGCTGAACAGACCTGAGAGAGTAGAGAAATCAAAAGGAACATTACAAATCAGAAACGGTGAAAGAAAGACAATGACACCCTATTCCCTTTATAGTGCACTACTGTTGACCAGAGCCCTACGGGCCAGTAAAAATGGCAATTAACCTGTTTCAACAGTAACAAAAGTCTGATGAAATCTCCCTTAAAAAAGTGAAAAGGTTAAAAAAAGGCCAACCTGGTGCGAGGTGTTGAGCTGAGAGGGTGTGTGTGGTCATCATGGGCTGAGGGGGGAGCTCTGACAGGACTGGGAGGGTTGGTCTGTCTCAGACTGCTCTCTAGTCGCTCCTTTAGTCTGCCTACCTCCGCCTGCAGGGACTGGATGGCCTCACTGGGGAACATACACAGAAACACACGCACATGCACGCACACACAAACAAACACACACACGAGAATGAGTACAGAGAGAAGTGTTAATATTTTCTACCTCAATGTTATAGAGTAGACACTGCCATTTCAATTCCAGTTAGTAATATTGTAGTAATATCACCACACGTCTGTTATAGGTGTTAAAACGTACAATTGACCCAGCGAATCGAATCGATTTGACATTCCAAACCATACACAATCTTTTTCTAAACTCATTCCTATTAATATGAGTCAATAAATAGGGCCCACTCATGCAGTGTCACACCATGCAAAGTAAACACTGGGTATGTACAGTATGTACCTCCTGAGTCTCCACATTTACTAGCTTCCATGTCTGTAATGAAATCAAATCATACAGAAATACAGAATGTAAAAATTACTCAGGTGTATCACTCTACTTGCCCCAGGGAGACTTACACATTAGAAACACACTGATACCAGCCAAGAAAACAAGTAGGATCCAGCGTTAGATATTTAGAATAAATATAAATATAAATATAAATGATCAAATAATAAAGATATGGCTCTGGTAGGATCCAATGCCTGAACTTGACTTCCCAGATAAAAGCTTGAGACCAGCCAGTCAACACCCTCAGCATAAAAGAAAATCAAATATCAAACATCTAATAATCCACCCTCCTGGATCCTACTGGGAGTTGCCAGAAAAAAAATCCCTTTGAGCTGAGCTGGTATTTTTGCTGTAGTGAAGCAGCCCTCTTCTCCTCCCAGCCAATACTTTCCAAAGAGACTCATATATCTGTTCTTGTTTGTGCCACTATCGCCATGGGAGCAGTTGTAGGGAGAGAGACTCACTTGCGGTTGGTCAGCTGACCAGAGCTCAGGGCTCGGAGGGGATCGCCATGGTGATAGGGTGCAGTGGGGGAGGGGCTTGGCTGGTAGCGGTGCTGGGTTGTTCGGGTGGAACGGTCACTACGTCCCTCATCCTCCCCTGACACAGAGTGGACTTAGGATAGAAGGAGGAAATAAGGAGGATAGAGGAGTTTAAAACAGAAGGCAGGGGAGAGGTAGAGGATCAAATTAACTGACACGGGCAAAGAAACATAGCCAAACAGCTAATAGCTGCCTCGCTGCTTTCTCTTAGGAGGGTACATGTTTCTGGCACAGAGTAGACTGTGTGCCAGGGTTTCCGGTATGAAAATGTGACGCTGGACATTTGACCGACAGCATTTTCATTGACCAGACATTTGAGTAATTAACCAGACCCATATGCATTGGGTGCGTAACCTGATTAGGGCGTCCACCCACGGTGCTCAGAATGACAGAAATCACATTTAGATTATGGTAATGAATCTTAACAGAACATGCAAGTCGAGGATGCAATGACTTGTGTCCTTACCGCACACTTTGAAGATGTTAGAATAACTGTCCACATTTACTTTTCCTCAGCCAACAAGATGAGTAGCGAACAGCAAAATCACTAGCCTATGCAGGTGGAGCGTGAGTTTAAAGTTTGGGGAAGCACATTTTCACCATAAAAATGCACCTTCATAATAAATCATGCGATGTCATAATAAATCATGCCATGTGTCATCGCATTTACAGACTTATGTAAGATAGCCTACTATTCGTAATGTGATGAGTAGATTGGATAGTCATAATTCAGGCTAATAATATAACTCAATCACTGTTCGCAAAAAATACAGTTGAACGCATTGCTGAGCGCCTATAGTGTAGAGGCCTGGGATATAGGCTATATCAGATACATTTTTATTTATTTGCACGGGAAAACACATTTCATGCAATTCAACTACACTTTATATGACTGAAGACATTAGTATAATCTTTTTAACACTGCAGTGGGCTAAATCAGGGTCAGTAAACAAATCTACTTTGAAACAAAAGTATACACCTCACACACATGGTTGTGTGCTTAAAAAAAGAAGACACCTGTACCATGTCAGATATAGAGTTGAAATGTATTAGCAAATAGTATACATCCCAATATTACACTTTATATACATCACAGAAGACTGAAATATAACAAAACTAATTATGAAATTATGAAAAATATTAATAACATTCCACCCATGAGGCCACTAGGTCATTTGACTGCAGGAAAGGGCTACTACGACAAATTACAGGGTAGCCTACTGTGCTGACACTGACAAACAGATCAATAAAAACGACGTTGTCCATATAATAGGCCTAGGAGAAGGGGCAAATAGAATATGACGTCTATCTAAACTGGAGGAGGAAATTACTGTCCAAAAACAAACTTTTAAGTGGCACTGACCCAACAATGATAAAGAGTGAATATGTGCAGTGCCAATAAGATAGGCTATAGGCCTACTGGTCGCTCAGTTAAATTGAGAATTTTGATAACTAAAAGACAGACTAGTATTTTAATTGTCGTCCCTTTAAAACAATAGCCATTTGCTTTCCAAACCATGTTTTCCCACGATTTAATTTTGAAATATTGCGATAACTGCCAAAAGCCAGCTACTACAGGCTAAGGGAAACCCTGCTTTGAACTTACATATTACTGCTTCACTACACCAATTAATTTGTTCTTAGTCACTTGTAAGAACACATTTTGCAACCTAACACAAATAAGACGGTTACAGACAGAACAGCATGGACTCACTGTGGTCACTGTCTGGTCCAAACTCACTGGTCCCACTGCCATCCCAGGGCTGGGGAGTCCTGCTGGCCCTGTGCTGGGGGGAACTGGAGGCTGAGGTGCCACTCCTCTCCCCGCCTCTGGTTCTCCCTGAAGAGCCCCGTACCCGCCTTGGGGTGCTCAGACCAGAGTCTTCACTGTGCTCCAGCAAGGGTGGTCTCTGTGGTCTGTGTGAGGGAGAGGAGGAGGAGGGTATAGGCTGCCCTGACACGGGGGCTGTGTGGTAGGGCTTCCCTGAGCTCTGCTCCTCAGGGACTGACAGGCTAGGGAGGAGACATGTAAAACCAAGACAGGAACATACACTGATGAGACTACAAGGGAACCCATGAGCTGTCAGTTTTGGGCAAACAGCAATGGGAACAAAACAGGGAAAAGTTAAGGTCTGTAGGCAACTAGCTAGGGACATTGTGAGGGCACAGTGCGGAGCTGTGTGTCGGTGTGTCAGTATTGTGTGTTTGTGCACATGTGTGTGTGCGTATGTGTATGTGTGAGTGGGTGTGTGTTTGTGTGAGACACTGGGGAATGTGATGTCACGTTCTGTGAGATTTACAGCCGAGTCACTGAGGGTAGAGGGAGAGGGATGGAGGGGGAGATAGCAGCAGTAGCTCACCTCGCTATGGCCCTCTGGTGGAGAGGACTAGGTGCTGCAGGTGTCAGACGACTGCTCTCAGAGCCAACAAAACCACTGTCAGTCTCTGGTGAGATGATCCCATCCTGATCAACACAGTGGGTTTGACAGACAAATTACTCTTTCAGGCTCATTAGAAATTGCTGAATTGTGGAGATAAATGTGTAACTGAATTATCATTCATATGCATAGACTTGATCAGTAGATATTTCTTTGTTGGTTGGACAAGTTTTGGAAAGAAGTTAGACTGAAAACATGATGTAATTGCATCTATGTCATGACTATGTCTTTCACAGCGGACACCAGATAGGTAAATAACTAGGCAAAATGGAAGCTTGATACAGTCTCTACGGTATCTGACCTGGGACGGCACTCTCCTGGTCCCAGGCTGCAGTTTGGAGCCTCTCCTCTCTGAGGCAGCACTCTCCCCCAGACTGGTCAGACTGCTGCCACGAGACTTCCTGACCTCTGACCTCTTTCTGTCATTGGCCAGCAGATCATGAAATGCAGGGGATTGGCTGAGGTCCTTTGGGGAAGGAGGAACTGATTTGCTGGTCCTTGGTCTCGCCGTTGGAATGAATGTAGCGTCCTGCTGACCTAGCATTGGCTGTCTGAAAACACATCATAGAATTTAGAGTAATATACATGTTATCCAGTGTTCGTATTCATTAGTGCACAGTGCACACTGTAGCAAAATGTTTTGCAACGAAAACAAGGGCTTCTTATTGTACAAGTTCAGGTAGTCACTCCCCGTTTCTGTTTTGCTTCCTAGTGAATACAGCCTGGTGCAGAGTTCAGACTCACCTCTGAGGGAGACTTGTGTGGCCCTTCTCCCTCCCTGTCCATGGGTGTGGTCCCTCTCTTGTCCCCTCACCGCCTGAATGTGTGGCTTCTTCTCCTGCATCAGGAGAGTCATGGTCTCCCTCTGTCAGATCCAGGTCTAGCAGTCTGGGCAGCTCCCTGAAACTCTGGTAGCTGGAAGGGGCATTTGTAAGCAAACTGATATTTACATGACTACTAAATTGACCAATACCATGATTATGTATAGAACAAAAGGACAGCCCGCCTTTCATTGGCTGATTTTGAATACTTCTGTTCTACAACGTCATGTAATACAGACTAGACCTTCTTTAAAAGGATAGTTGATCCAAATGACATCATTTCCTTCCTCTATAAGCAGTCTATGGACAAGTTAAGACAGCATTCTATGCTTTAGTTTTGTTTACCTAGCCACTGTCTCCAAATGTACATTTCTTATCATTTTTGTCCAAAAACAAATGCAAGTCAATATCCCTGATATTATATTTTTTTGTATTTCATGTCCAAATCATCCCAAAGTGTTTACAATTGATTGAGACTTACTGGTCCATCAGCATGCTGAGGTCTCTCTCTACACGTTTGTGTTTGTGACGTAAGGGACGGAGGAGCAGGGGCGGCATTACTTCTTCCTCTCCCATACCTCCCTCCTCTCCCTCGCTCTCTCCACTGGCCGAGCTAACCTCCACCCCCACCACCCCCCCAGACTCCCCTGGCAGAGGTAACACTGGGCTCTGGAGAGAGAGAGAGAGAGAGAGAGAGAGAGAGAGAGAGAGAGAGACCAAGAGAAAGCCAGAGAGAGAAGGAGCGAGAGAGAGAGTGAGTAGGAGAGTGAGCGAGAGAGAGAGAGGTTAACAATCTTGGAAATGTAGGCCTTCATAACTATGAGATGAATAGTGACTAATCTACTGTAGTGTCTTCAGTAGCTATGTTGTCACGGTACCTCAGGGAGAGGCATGGGCTCGCTGCCCCCTGCAGGCATGGAGTAGGGGGTGGGGTGAGGAGGTGGAGTGGGAGGTGCTTCTGAGGTGGGCCGGTCCTGTTCAGTCTGCTCCACCTGTTCCTTGAGCTCCTCCACACGCATCCCACACTGGAATATACAGCCCTCCAACTCCCTATCACACACACATACACAACCAAACACACACTTGATGTCCACCATATCTGTTTTTCATAATGTCCACTTTATCTAACAGTTTAAACACATTATTGTAGATAATCCTGTAGTGTGGTCTCACCTGCCGGGGTCAAAGGGGCCCAGCTTGGCCCCGCTCTGCAGTAGAAGTCTGTGTTCATCTCGTGCTGCTAGATAACCTCTTTCCAGAGAATCCTGCCCCTGCAGCAGCTGGGACAAACTCTGCAGGGACACCACATCACATCATTACTCAAACAAAATGGTGGCCAGTGAGCACTGGGAGATGCTCCTCTATACAATATATGCAAGACTCCTATCAGATAAATATCAGAACAATACCTTCATCTGCTCAAATGGTTTAAGTTTCCCTCTCCTCAGGAGTTCTTCAAATGTCTGCACCTGCTGGAGGAACCTCTCCGCCTGCTTTGAGAGATCCCTGGTCAGCTGCTCTCCAACTCCAGGGCCCAGGCTTCTGGGGGATGAGGAGGCCGCTGAGGAGGGACAGACAGGGGAGACTCCACTATGTCCTGTAGTGTGGAGAGAAAATACGTTTTTAGTAAAGGACAATAGAAATGTGTGAAGGAATGTTGAATGAGAGGCAGAATCAACTGACAATGGAGTGTAAGAACCTATTGAAACAAAGCAATGGCTGTGTCCCATATGTTACCCTATTTCCCATAGGGTTCTGGTCAAAAGTAATGCACTATAAAGGGATTAGGGTGCCATTTGGGACGCAGCTATACTGTAGGATGGCTGTTAGTACCTTGGTGGGCAGCCTGTCCATTTAGGTAAACGGAGCCTGAGCTGAGCTCCGCCCTCTGAGCTTGGGGAAAAGTTAGGGTCATGACCTTTGATCCTTCATGGAGTACACCTGATTGGACAGCGTGACTGGGCTTGGGAGGGTCGGAGTAGAGGCCCACCTGGAGATAGAGACAACAGGGGAAAACAGGTGTCAAAATGAATAAATGATATGAGCTAAATTATTACAAATTTGATTAATGATAAATTAGTTTAAAATCAACAGGTGTAGACTAAGAGTGAAATGCTTCCTTACAGGCCTTTCCCAACAATGCAGAGAGAAAAAAAGACAAATAATAGAAAAATAATAACACGAGGAATAAATATAAAAATAATAACACGAGGAATAAATACAGTAACAATAACTTGCCTATATACACGGGGTATCAGTACCAAGTCGATGTGCAGGGGTACAAGGTAATTTAGGTAGATACAGCAACTTCGGAAAATATTCAGACACCTTGATGTTTTCCACATTTTGTTACGTTACAGCCTTATTCTACAATAGATTTTAAAAATAATAATCCTCACCATTCTACACACAATACCCCATAATGACAAAGCGAAAACAGTTTTGGCCGTTATGGTAGTGGCCAGACGGAAGCCACTCCTCAGTAAAAGGCACATGACAGCCCGCTTGGAGTTTGCCAAAAGGCACCTAAACGACTATCAGACCATGAGAAACAAGATTCTCTGGTCTGATGAAACCAAGATTCAACTCTTTAGCCTGAATGCCAAGCGTCACATCTGGAGGAAACCTGGCACCATCCCTACGGTGAAGCACGGTGGTGGCAGCATCATGTTGTGGGGATGTTTTTCAGCGGCAGGGACTGGGAGACTAGTCAGGATTGAGGCAAAGATGAACGGAGCAAAATACAGAGAGATCCTTGATGAAAACCTGCTCTAGAGAGCACAGGACCTAAGACTGGGGTGAAGGTTCACCTTCCAACATGACAACGACCCTAAGCACACAGCCAAGACAACGCAGGAGTGGCTTTGGGACAAGTCTCTGAAAATCCTTGACCGAACATCTCTGGAGAGACCTGAAAATAGCTGTGCAGCAACGCTCCCCAGCCAACCTGACAGAGCTTGAGAGGATCAGCAGAGAAGAATGGGAGAAACTCCCCAAATACAGGTGTGCCAAGCTTGTAGCATCATACCCAAGAAGACTCGAGGCTGTAATTGCTGCCAAAGGTGCTTCTATAAGGTACTGAGTAAAGGGTCTGAATACTTATGTAAATGTAATATCTGTTTTTTATTTGTAATAAATTAGCAAAGATGTCTCAACTTGTTTTTGCTTTGTTATTATGGGGTATAGTGTGTAGATTGATGGGGGGAAAAAATGATTTAATCAATTTTAGAATAAGGCTGTAACCTAACAAAATGTGGAAAAAGTCAAGGGGTCTGAATACTTTCTGAAGGCACTGTATATATATATAGGTAGGGATAAAGTGACTAGGCAACAGGATAGATAATAAACAGTAACAGCAGCATATGTGATGAGCAATGTTCCCTCTAAGCTGCGCACGTGCGCACGTGCACAGTAGCCCCGAGACTGCCCGGGAATGCTGTGCAGAGTGCAGAGGAAATATCAGCCCACATAGAGAAGCACGAGATTGAACTTCACTCAACTTTCTAGAGTTTTCCCTGTTAGTTAACACTATCAATGTTTCCCTTTACTATGCAAGATATTTTGGTGTAGGCAGAACGCATCGGAATAGGATTCTATTGCAGAATACTCAGCCCTTACTCTAAACAGACCTGAGGGCAGTGTTGTATTTTGAGACAGGTTTGAACAAGCTAAGTAGCCAATAGGCAGCTGGTAGCATAATTTGTCTGATTCTCTGTAATAATGGTATGAGAATAATAATTCATTTTATTTAGTAAAGTGGTTTCTTGCATCAACCAACACAAAAACATTTTTCAGTCACCTCCCTGTCTGAAGGACAAGTGGATAAACAGGTTAACGTCAAGCCCTGCATGTTTTTTTCTCCAAAAGTCTCATGGAATGTAGGCATTGAACACCACACAGGCTGAATACTGTAGGCTGAATGATAGAACAGCTATTTCCGTGTTAAAATGATATGGGATGCATTTTCTCCATTGTTTTTGATGGTAGGCCACTCTGGTAGACCTACATTATGATCAAATAGCCACAGTAGCCTACTTGGCCACTGTTAAAACGGTAACTTAAAGCGGGTACAGCCTCAGTGTTCACAGTAAACGCGCGCTGGAAGTTGCACAGAATTTTCACAACGTTCAAGTTTGCACTCAGCAGACCTGAAATTTGCTCAGTGCCATTTTTTTTGGGGAGGAAACTTTGGTGATGAGTCAAAAATGTTTGTGCTAAAAGGGTCAATGCAGACAGTCCGGGTAGCTATTGGTTAACTATTTAACTAACTATTTAGCAGTCTTATGGCTTGGGGGTAGAAGCTGTTCAGGGTCCTGTTGGTTCCAGACTTGGTGCATTGGTACCGCTTGCCGTGCGGTAGCAGAGAGAACAGTCTAGGACTTTTGAGTCATAAGATGCAGGCAAGGATTTAAACACCAGTGGTGTTGTAGTCTCAGGACCATTACAGTTATGCTATCTTGGAGGAGAGATGCTTTGCAATACAGAAAAGTCTGAGGTATATGGTGTGGCTCTACCATCTATGTGTGTATAATGTATATGTATGGATCACATCCTTCATTTTGTGGAGAGCTTTTTATTACAACCCCTGTCGGCTCTACCTCAGTCTCAGGATGATAAAACTGATAACGGGAAGCATAGAAATAGCGCACATAGAACGGATCTACCGCTTCTTAGATTTGCATTCAATGACAATGACAGATCTATAATACACATTTCTCTGTGAATATTGCAGCTTTAATTGTAAAGGCAATCCTATAAGCAGGTATTGGGCTGTGCTTGATAAAGGATTGAATTGGCCCTCCCAGCACTACACTATTATGTCTCCAGAAGGAGGAGGAGAGAGACAGATGGTTGTGTGTGTAAGGAGAGGAGGAGGAGGGAGGGGGGTAAGCTAGATTTTAATTAGTATTAAGAGTAGAGTGTTGTGCAGATGGAATAGAAGACACAGAATAGGAATACCTACCTCTCTGTAAATTGCCATTTAAAATCAATGACTGTGAATGGCCAAAACTATGACAACAAACTGTCACTACACTGTCCATCTGGAGATGACACCCCTACAGGGCTCGGACATCAAGGATGTCATTTCCGGTTTTCCTCCACTGCATCATGAGGGCAAAAACAATGCATGCGATTGTCCTAATGTGAACCGCAGGGTCATATGACTGTACCCCACATGACAGGATGAGTCTATTTAGTGTGTGTCTGGTATTGGTGTTCAGAGAGCAATTAAGAACTATCAACCCAATGCCAAAAAGCGAAGTGGTGTTGTTAACTCTCTTACCAAATAGTAAACTGTGATACACAAGCAGCATTGAAAGAAGTTCTAGTTATAATGCAATAACGCAAGTTGTATCTTATTCTTTAGCTGTTTACTACTGTCTTTTTACAACTCCCTTCCCATAACAAACTTTGAGCGTCTAATTCTTTCATTTGAATCCCAATACCACTATGGCTCTTCAGAGGTGCTGAGAAAAGTCCAACAACCACAGAGGCTTGTGTTTTTCTTGAGTAGGTAGGCTATTATACATGCAGGGCGCCCTCTGAAACAAGTGATGTCCCAAATTGCACCCTATATCCTAAATAGTGCACTACTTTTGACCAGAAGCCTATGGGCCCTTGTCAATAGTAGGGCACTACCTAGGGAATAGAGTGCTATTTGGGAGGTAATCACAGGCTATAATCATACAGGTCACTGGAATGGCCATTTCCAGCATCTGCTTTGTGTTGTCTTTCATGTGGCCTGCATGTATTCAGATGCAGAGCAGAGAGGACTAAATATAACCACTCCGTCTGCCAGAGACACCAAATACATACACCACAGAGGAGATGGAGGGAGTGTTCAGTGTTACACTGAAAAAGAAAGGAGATTTTCAGCTCAAGCTTAGCATTGGTATGTACAGTATCAAGCGTCTGAGTAGCAGTATCCCCCCTGCCCATGTCATTTTATATATTGTGATCTAAAAGCCAGAACTGATCCCAAATCAGAGCTTACACTCTGAGACGCTTGATAAATACAGCCCCTGGCCCTTGAACAGAAGCCTCGGTCTATAGCCAATTGTTCAATGGAAGTTTTGTAGCACATACAGCTATCCAGATGACACACTTGTATGCTGACACAATGTTAGACACACACACACACACACACAAACACTGACACATACACCGAGTACACAAACATTAGGAACACCTTCCTAATATTCATTTGCACCCCCTTTTGCCGTCAGATCAGCCTCAATTCGTTGGGGCATGGACTCTACAAGGTGTCGAAAGCATTCCACAGGGATTCTGGCCCATGTTGACTCCAATACTTCCCACAGTTGTGTCAAGTCGGCTGGATGTCCTTTGGGTGGTGGACCATTCTTGCTAGACACGGGAAACTGTTGAGAGTGAAAAGCCCAGCAGTGTTGCAGTTCTTGACACACTCAAACCGGTGCGCCTGGCACCTACTACCATACCCTGTTCAAAGGCACTTAATTATTTTGTCTTGCCCATTCACCCTCTGAATGGCACACATACACAATCCATTTCTCAAATGTCTCAAGGTTTAAAAATCCTTCTTTAACCTGTCTCCCCCCTCATCTACACTGATTTCATTTCTGTTTATGCGACAAAACAAGCAAGTATAGTGTAGAGAATCATTGTACCATCTAAACCACTGTGAAATATATTTTCCATAACCAATAATATTGTATTTTCAGCTGTTTGAAGCTGGTGTACAAAACTGAAAGTAAGAGACGCAAAAATGAAACTTAAGCACCCATAGAATGGATCTACCACTTCTTAGACTTGCTTTCAATGACAATGACATATCTATAAGTCCATTTCTATGTGAATTTGGTCGGGTCGCCCGAAAAGTTCCATATTGCAGCTTTAACAGGTGACATCAATAAGGGATCATAGCTTTCACCTGGATTCACCTGGTCAGTCTATGTCATGGAAAAGAGATGTTTTGTACACTCAGTGTACAGACTATATAGACTACCTTGGCTTGGAGACGCATCCGATCAATAGTGTTCTCTGCCTCAGCATACTTGGTCAGCAGCCTGTTGTAGTCCTCCTAGAGAAAGAAGGGGAAGGAGAGACAGAGGGATAGGGAGGAGAAGAGTGAACACTGTGAGCTGGTTAGGAAGTAGAGAACCACTACCCAGATTTAGTCAATTAGAGAATCATTCAGTGAACTGGTAAGTGAATTGGTGTCAGTGTGTCAGAGACTTTAAAAGTTGTTTAGCCTTGGAGCCTGAGTGTGTCAGAATGCTAAGGAATCAGAGTTAGTCTGAGCGTGTGCCCGTGGTGTAGTCCTACTCTCTGTGTATGTACCTGCAGCTGCTGTACCAGAGTGCTGGCCTGTTGTGGGCATCTGAAGTCCTCTGGCACCGTGGAGTTTAGGGGCCTGTGGGGCCCGTTGGGGGGCGAGGGGGATTGGGGTCCGTCTGTACTGCTCAGCAGCACCTCTCTCACTATGTCAGCAGGGGACTTGAACACCAGGGGGGGCTCCACTGACAGAGACCTCTTTCTGGGGGAGCCTTTGCTCTTGGGGGGGGTGTAGCCGCTCTTAGGGAAGCGAACCCTTGGCTCTACCTTGGAGAAGTCTGGGGTGGGGTAGGTCAGTGGCCCTCTTCGGCCCTCGTCCATGTCAGGGTCATGACTCTTTGGTTGGGGTTTGGGGGGACTCTCCCTGGGGGTCCGGAGGCTCCAGTCCTTGGTGCTGCTGTGAAGGGGGGACTGTGAGGGTGCATGCCAGGATTTCTGAGAGGAACGAGCCATGGCTTGTGGGGTGTCACATAAGCGCTGTCTTATCGTCCTCGGATAGGGGTGTTGCCGATGGTTAACGCCTGACCCATCCTGTGAGCTCTCTCCACCCCTCTCGTTTCTCTCGCTGAGTTGGTATGATATCACACACTCAGGAGAGATAGCTGCTGGGTAAGGGGAGGTCCTAGGCTTGAGCTCCTCCCCCCCTGACTCAAGCGGCCAATGAGGCCTGGGGGCGTTGCTCATCCGGCTGCTGCGGGATTCCGGAAGGCTCTCTGTGAAGGTGGGATCCTCCGGGAATGTCTCGGCTTCAATCCCTGGAGCATAGGCCAACTCCTCGGAGGAGAAGTGGAGGAGGTGAGGAAAGGTAGAACTTCTGGGAGGGGAGGAGAGAGACTGGGGGGATGAACAGAGCCGGTCGGGAGGGGAAAGGGAGGAGAGGTTTTCAGACACACTCTCTACAAACCGTTCCCCCCCTCTGTTGTCACTCTCTGAGAGTTCACTAGTCTCTTCTATTTGTAGGTCGGCACTGTAACTGCCTATGGCACTGACCTCTCTCTCCTCCTTCACCCGCTCTTCTCCTCTGACACTAAGGCCCTGACCCCAGCCAGGCCCAGCCCCAGCTATGACAGGATATACCATCATGTCAGTGTCTGCGTGTGGCACGCTGTCCTCCTCCTCCTCCTCCTCCTCCTCTCCATCCTCCTCTACCTCCCTCTCGTCCTCCGTCATGTCCAGCTGTCTGTCTCTCTCTGGGAGATACTCCCTCCGCTGCCTGTGGACCACCCAGCTCTGCTCCTCTTCATCCTTCTGCTGCTGCTCCTCATCCTCACTCCAGATCTCCACACTGTCCTTGGACTCCTGGACATCGTCATCTAGCAGAGAAAGAGAGGGAGAAAGAGAAGGGTCTGGGAGAGGAGTCAGTTCAGATGCATCCATTTCAGCTGTAATTGTGTTCATAAACTCACCTAGGTCATTTCATGGGATATCAAGATACATATAGCACTTTTCCCTTGCAATTGTAACCCCTGCTTGCAGACCTTAGGCGGCATAGGCCTTTGATGCTTTTGGCTTGGTTGAAATGTGATATTTTGCTAAAGAAGTTATTACATTGTCTGTGTCCCAAATGACACCCTATTCCCTACATAGTGCATTACTTTTGACCAGAGCCCTATGGGCCATTTTAGTAATAACATTGTTATGACATTGTTAGTACTGTATGTGTGACTCACAGAGTGAAAGGGTGTGCGTGTCCTCTCCAGGTGGCTCAGACTGGGACAGAGGCTCAGAGTCCTGCAGCTCACTCAGGTTATAACTCAGCTCCTCCAGAGGGTCTACGTGCTCCAGCCCCAGCTCTAGCCCCATCCCACCTGCCCTACTGGGGGACAGGGACCCCTCCAAGGCTCCAGAGTACCAGGGTGGATTCTCCTCTCCACCCCCCTCTCCCTCCTCCTCCTCCTCTCCTCCCAGACCCACATCATCCAAGGCCTCATCCAGTCCTATGATCCCATTCTCATCCATCTGGGTGTGGAAGCCCTCCTCCTCTTCTGTTTTCCTGTCCCAACCTTCCTCATCCTCCTCTTCCTCTTCCCCCCAGTCTATGGATCTGGAGGGAGAGGGGCGTTGAGGAGCGGGGGTCCAGAACAAAACCCCTGCCCTGGTGCGTTGCCCCTTGGGCTCCATCCTCTCTCAGATCTGACCTCTGAACTCTAGCCAGGTCTGGTGTCGCCCAGCATCCTGATTGGCTGCTCTGGTGGTCCTCTGAAGCCCACCTCCAAAGCCATGGCTTAGAATCTAGCCTACTGGCTGTAGGCCTATGTCCATCTTATGGAAAGCTTTGTCACTGGGGGCTCTTGATACCCTGAAACCAAATGCCATTACAATACAGGAATAGTGAGAGAAATAACTTAGCCCAGTTTCTGATACAACACATTTCAAATACAAGCACATATATTCACAGACACACGCATTAACTTCAACATCTGGGGATTGGGAAAAGACAAATGCAGCACTATACCGCATCCCTACTTCTCTGTAGACAGATGTGACTTCACCACGCTGCTAACTGCAGGCCATCTTTAAGACAGTCATTCATTTGATGCAGAACACAGATCACAGCGCTAATGAACTGTGATTAAAGAGCAAGGAAATGAACAGTCTGTCTTCCTAATGTTAACATGGAAGCATCTAAATAAATCAGCAGATAACCATGTGTCGCTCCTTCAGTACGCCCAATTTTGAAATGTCCTAATATTTACTATACGTAGAAGGCATTTTTTTTTTTTTTTAAGATAGACTACAAAAAGGGGGAGACAAATGAAGGTTAACACAAAGTGGGAAGTGTGGAGACAGAGATCGAACCCCGATCTCGGGGCTGTGTACATGTGCCAAGACCACCAGACCATGTGGCCTGCACTGAAGAAGGGCTTTCATACAGAAGAGGAAGAGGGATATGAATTCCTAAAAGGTACAGTACTCTTAGAAGAAACAAATATTCCCATGTCTCAGTATCAGTTAGGCTATGTACACTGCTAAAAAAAATAAAGGGAACACTTAAACAACACAATGTAACTCCAAGTCAATCACACTTCTGTGAAATCAAACTGTCCACTTAGGAAGCAACACTGATTGACAATAAATTTCACATGCTGTTGTGCAAATGAAATAGACAACAGGTGGAAATTATAGGCAATTAGCAAGACACCCCCAATAAAGGACTGGTTTTGCAGGTGGTGACCACAGACCACTTCTCAGTTCCTATGCTTCCTGGCTGATGTTTTGGTCACTTTTGAATGCTGCCGGTGCTTTCACTCTAGTGGTAGCATGAGACGGCGTCTACAACCCACACAAGTGGCTCAGGTAGTGCAGCTCATCCATGATGGCACATCAATGCGAGCTGTGGAAAGAAGGTTTGCTGTGTCTGTCAGCGTTGTGCAAGGAGGAACAGGAGGAGCACTGCCAGAGCCCTGCAAAATGACCTCCAGCAGGCCACAAATGTGCATGTGTCTGCTCAAACGGTCAGAAACAGACTCCATGAGGGTGGTATGAGGGCCCGACGTCCACAGGTGGGGGTTGTGCTTACAGCCCAACACCGTGCAGGACGTTTGTCATTTGCCAGAGAACACCAAGATTGGCAAATTCGCCACTGGTGCCCTGTGCTCTTCACAGATGAAAGCAGGTTCACACTGAGCACATGTGACAGACGTGACAGAGTCTGGAGACGCCGTGGAGAACGTTCTGCTGCCTGCAACATCCTCCAGCATGACCGGTTTGGCAGTGGGTCAGTCATGGTGTGGGGTGGCATTTCTTTGGGGGGCCGCACAGCCCTCCATGTGCTTGCCAGAGGTAGCCTGACTGCCATTAGGTACCGAGATGAGATCCTCAGACCCCTTGTGAGAACATATGCTGGTGCGGTTGGCCCTGGGTTCCTCCTAATGCAAGACAATGCTAGACCTCATGTGGCTGGAGTGTGTCAGCAGTTCCTGCAAGAGGAAGGCATTGATGCTATGGATTGGCCCGCCCGTTCCCCAGACCTGAATCCAATTGAGCACATCTGGGACATCATGTCTCGCTCCATCCACCAACGCCACGTTGCACCACAGACTGTCCAGGAGTTGGCGGATGCTTTAGTCCAGGTCTGGGAGGAGATCCCTCAGGAGACCATCCGCCACCTCATCAGGAGCATGCCCAGGCGTTGTAGGGAGGTCATACAGGCACGTGGAGGCCACACACACTACTGAGCCTCATTTTGACTTGTTTTAAGGACATTACATCAAAGTTGGATCAGCCTGTAGTGTGGTTTTCCACTTTAATTTTGAGGGTGACTCCAAATCCAGACCTCCATGGGTTGATAAATTTGATTTCCATTGATAATTTTTGTGTGATTTTGTTGTCAGCACATTCAACTATGTAAAGAAAAAAGTATTTAATAAGATTATTTCATTCATTCAGATCTAGGATGTGTTATTTTAGTGTTCCCTTTATTTTTTTGAGCAGTGTATATTAGATCACTAGGCTAAAATTTTATAGCTCAGTTTTGAGAGATTGCGTATAGTTTATTTAGGCTAATTATGGGAAAACATAGGGGTTTTATCAAAAACAGGGAACATCAAGATCAACTATTTTTGGATGTCATGGAGTATAGGTGTGTAAAGTCTCTTCAGTCCTACTATAGAGCTCTGGGCTGTGGTTAACTGTCACCATAGCAACCGACAACACCAAGCCCTGCCTCAATGAGCTCGGAGAACAATAGGCTGCACTTCTCACCCCTACCTTCAGCCAAACAGCATTCAGAGCTATCACTCATGGCCAAGAAAATAATCAGGAAGAGAAGACAAATGAGAGAAGTTTCTGGGGGTTCCCATGGGAAGCTGACATAGCCTTATCTGTTGAGTGACACTTGTTACCTCCTCACCATATACTACAATACACTTTCATGCACTTCAAAACACCTCACAGAGGCACACAGAAATTCAACCTGTAAATGTGTTGTAGGAGGAAGAATGGAACACAAAAAAAACGGAATAACAAATCAGTTTTACAAGACACATAGACCCGGAAAGTGAAGCAGCAAGCTTACACCTGCTCGTTACGAAAAGTGGCCACCGTGCATCTTGGTCCTCATCAATATGCCAGATTACCAAAAACAGATTATTAGGGGAGTGCTGCTTCTAATCTGACACACAAACACACACACACACCAGCTCATCTTTGTTGTGGAGGAAACAAACAACACTCTCACTCTACGTGGAACAAGCAGCAGGCTCATCGCCCCTCTGTCCTCCTTTCACACGCAAATGTATAGAGAGTCTCTCTCCATGGAGAGGCAGCTGGGCTGACGCACAACATATCTAAACTGAGACAACTGGGAGAACACAAGCTCTTCAGGCAGACAAACAACTTCAGGGCATTTTTCATAGCTAATTTCAGCTCTGGGACTTAGTTCATCAGTGAACATCAAACCTATTTTGATGTAGCCTAGATAGAATGTATACAACATAAACAATTTAGGGCAGTCAATCTTAAATAGGCCTATGAATTGAAACCGTAAAATCATATCTTTGATACGTTCAGATTATGTACATCTTCACTCGTCATTATACCAATATCACAGCCATTCTGTTGATTGTAAAGCATCAAGAATGGACTCACCTGTTGCTTAAAGCCAAGCGGCATGTGCATACATCCCTGAGGTACTCCAAGGTTATGTGGTCAGGCTGGGGTATTAAACCCTGAGGGGCTCACCAACAGCTCACAGCCTGTCAGCCAGACAGACAGGGCTGATCTGTTGAGCACAGCCAGTAGTAGGCCTACATCTCCACAGGACTCCACAGGAGCCCCACAGAGCCCCACTGACAGCTAGGCTAATCCTCGGGGTGCCAGGGGAGCTCTCTCTCTGAGTCTGGGATGACGAGAGCTGCCAGGCTAGGCTAATTAACGCACCTGCCAGGGTCTCCTCTCGCAGACTCCCAGCCCTCCCTCCCAAAGCTGTCAGGGTCTCCTCTCGCAGACTCCCAGCCCTCCCTCCCAAAGCTGTCAGGACACATGTCAACAGAGCCAAAAGCAACATGTTTCAGTTTTGTTTGGCTGAGGACCAGAGCATTCTGCCCATTCAAAGAATCTATTTGAAGCCTCAGGATTTCACCCACGCTGAGAGAGAGCCCAGTCCAGTGAAGGTTGGCTATGATGGCCTACTAACTAACTAAGCAACGTAGGCTAATCTTCTTACAAGGCGAGGGGAGAGATAAGGACATGCAGACAGACACAGAGCTAGGAGAATAACAAACCAACCTGGGCCTAGTGCTGTGAATAGCCATATGCTCACAGTTATAACTGAGCATAACTAAAGTTAGGGGACCACGGTAGTTTAGGTGAGCAAGACCAGTTCAACCTGTTGCAAAATTCCCAAGCCTCCCAACAAGTCTTTCCATTCTGACAACACACTATACCAGTTAGTCTACATCTAGTGAGTGGAAGGCATAGTCCCACAACGGACTGCAAGTACGGGGAAAATGACAGGGTGTCAGGGGTTCCCTGGGTCCATGATTAAGTAAAGTATCAACACAGAGACAGCCCAAAAACCCATCTGACTTTGAATGTCTTCTTAAGTTATACCTGTGTAGCAGGCTAGTAGCATTAGTAATACATAGTAATTACAGTACACATTTTAGTAATAGCTTTGTATTTGCATAGTAATGGAGTTGAGAGGTTTTTTTGTCATTATTTAAGTGTACTAACACATACACACACACACACACAAATACACACACACACACACATAACTTTTAGTACTCAATGATTGAATCCATTTTGTGACTTTGTTCAAGAATGCTCATTATTTGTGACAAGCAAAAACACTACAAATTCTAAACTTACCCTGTGCTTATATCATCCAAGGCAGTTGAAGCAGAAATTCAGAGAGACATCGAGATTGCAGCATCGGCAGACTTCAAAGTAGCAGGCCTTGGTTGCCTTGAGAACCGCTTACTAACTACAAAAACACCCATCCCAATGTCACCAAGCGATGCATTGCAAACCACGACTTCACTCAATGCCACCCACTTTACCCGAGTAAACAAAAAAAAACGGAGCTATAGCTAGGTTCAGTTTCAATTCAGTCATCGGAGATAATATAGCAAAGAGTACACATTAAAAACGTGGGTAATAGTTAGGTAGCTAGCTAG